TATCACGCATCCTTTCTCGTGCATAAGATAATTTTTCTTACGGTTGTAATATGAACAGATGATGATGATTTTATCAGCTCTTTCCCTGACATCAAGTTGGGTGCGTCGCTTTTATTCATCTGGGCGAAAATCTCACACGAGATTTCAGAGTTTGCTAATGCGGCTATAGGAAATGATGTAGAGGAGCTTCAAAGCAATCCAGTGAAAAGGTGGCAAGCTTATGGGATGTTGAAATATATACTCACTTCTGGAGATCTGCTCTGGGAATTCAAAAGGCACACTATCGAGCTTTTGCTTGACATAACAAAAGGAGTTACTTCATCCCAATGCAACTATGAGCAAATAGATTGTTCAGATTACACACCTAGCATCTACGCTGCTTTACAGGCATAATATTCCTCCTTTGTCTTTATACCGTTCAGGTTTATCAGTGTTCTTATTGTCTCATTTCTTGGTTACAGGCTGTTACATTAGTGATCATGTATGCCCCAGATGCAGGTCTGAGGAAAAAGACATTTGAGGCACTGAAGAGGGTAAATAAATCTTGACTATCAATTTACAGCAAACGAACTTCCCTGATGCATAAAATAGAAACAACGCAAAGTTTCAAATGACTCTTGAATCCTTAAAGATCGTATTTCTTGTAACGTTGAGATGACTTTGTTTCTTCATATCTAAACTTGTTACTGAAGATTTAAACAGAAATTCTTAACTAACAACATTAGATTGTTCCATATGCCCTGTTTTTCTTTCTTTCCACGTACATTTTCTAAAATATACTTTTCCATATCTATTTGGGTTGTTACAGAGTTTAAACTGATTGATTATAATCTCGTCTTACAATCCCTTTTGTACTGTTTGATTAGATTCTTTCTGATATCCCAGCGCCTGAGAGGTTTGACATTTTAAGAGCCCTTGTCACAAATTCCCAGTCTTCCTCAATGGTTAGTATTTTCTAGCCCCTTGAACGTTATGAATATTGCATCATGTAACACATCACAGAGATGATGATTATGAAGATACACCTTTGGATGCGTTCACCATTCATAAACTGCATAGTTTAGTGTGTTTTAAGTAGTCTTAGTATGCTATTTACTGTTTAAAGTTACAGGTACTGTTTTTAATTTTTGTTTGTTGTCATAACTACTGTTTTCTAATGAAAAGGCATCTCATTTCGACTAATACTGTTTTTGCTAAATTAACCAGACAGCGATCCTCCTGGGTCTAGTTAAAGACAACATGAGCAAAAGTAGCATGCAAGCTACAGATTGTGTGACTGCTGATACTCATGTTATTGAGCTAGTGGAGTTGGTCTTAAGGCCTCCACAGGGTGGACCTCCGCTCCTTCCGGACCAGGGTGATGCGGTGAGTTGTTCATTCCTAAATCAATTCTCTTTTTTATTATTGGTTCTCTCTTGTGTCACATATAGTAATCCCTATAGTCAATGCAATAACATGGGTTAAAAGGTAACTGCTTTAAGGGACATGCGTATAGAGACACGGAGGAAATGCCCACTTTCTGTTCTAATGAGTAGCTTACTTTTCTCTTAGTTAAGGAATTTCTGTTGTTCCATTTCTTTCTACTTTAACGTAAGGGAAAACTGTGACAGACAAGAACCCACAATTTTCATCATTTATAAGAATAAGAGAGTCAGATCGAAAGAACATTGTTCTGTTTGCTTTTCTGGATCTGTATCGAGATCTAGTAGTAAACCACCTTTGTGTAACAAAAAATTTTGCGTGGTGTTTGTGCAGGTTCTGGCAGCACTGAACCTCTACAGATTTGCATTGCTATTTGAATCGAAAGGTATAATGTCTTAAATTAAAAAGTTTTCAATTCCAGTTGTACAGTCTGTACTGTGTTTCCTTGGTACCTGTTTTATCTCATGGCATTACTAGCACTCACCATAACAATTCATCCTCCCCTAAATAAAATGTTTCCAAGTAGATGGAGGAAATCGATTTTCTGTGAAATGCTACGCGAATTAGTAGTTCTGTGATTGGTTGTTTTTAGTCTGAAGTATGTAAATAGAGTTTTTTGCGTTTTGATGTTAAGGAATATCTTGCCAGTGAGGTGAACTTGTATTGACCATTTAATGATTTTCTTAATATAGACGACTTCAACTTCCATATAGTGAAGTAAATGGAAACATTTTCTTTGACCTATAATGTCTCTCACTCTATACATATTGTGTAATAGTAACAATATATTTTGATTTAAGATATACCATGTAGTCAATTTCAAATATCCATAAGCATACACAAGACATGTTATAAGCTCTTCTCTATGTGAAATCTGTTTGCAAACGTCGTAAACTGTAAGTGTGTAAATTTGAAGACATTTCAGGTCTCTTGTCAGTATGCTCCATGTCTAGTCGTTAATGAAACTTGTTGTTGCTTAGTTTTCTGACAACACAAAGTTATTAGGAAGTGAAGCAGGTAAAGAGAGAAGCAGAGGAGATAGTGAGGTTTTGTCAAAGAAGAATCTGGAGAAAGCCTATAAAAAATGGCTATTGCCTCTCCGAACTCTTGTGAGCTGCAGCATCGGCGAGAGCCTCAAGGAGGATCAGGGCTATGAATGTTCACTCGACGGTTTATATGTTCTTAACCCAATTGAACTGGCTCTTTATCATTGCATCGAGCTCGTGGAAGAACAGTTGAAAAGTCAGTCGTCGACAAAAAATTTTACCATCTCATGTGGGCAATACAAATTAACCCCATGATCCATGTTCGCTTAACTGAATTTCGCTGCAACTTTTGTGAATGTTATCAACACTTATAATGATCCTCTGCTTCTAGTTTTTTTTCGTAGAGTATGTTTTCAAAGAAACGCAAAAAGGGTTTTGTGTCGTCGAAGATTACTAATTAGCATATGCCAATGATTGGTTTGGCTATAATAGTCTCAGCTTATCTTTATACTTCCACGCAAAGTCTCAACATGTGGAGAAAAATAATGATTAAGGTTATCATTTTGAGATGGAATCATATTGAGATCTGGAAGTAGGAAACTGGTCTCTGAAGAGTCTTGATGATGATGAGGCTGCTCGTGAATCTGGTGCGTAACCTTAATTCTCTTTAACTTGTCATTCTCCCTGAACATGGCTCTAAACTCAACCAATCCAGTCTCCTGTTCGAGCACATAAACACAAGCAAAGTTAAGATATGGTCAAACACAAACACTTCTTGGGACGCATTGAAGTTGAAATTGTTAGTGTCAGTATGAGGAAGTTGAAATCTATTCTTTTC